GGGCCCGGTCTGTATGTGGGATCCGAACCCTCGGCGGGAGCGCTGCCGCGCTTGCCAAGCGGCGCACTTATCCAGTGCACCACTGGGCCGGCCCTAAAATTTTTTATTGTGATAAAATATACATAACATAAAATGTACCATTTTTAATCACTTTTCTTTTTTAAAAGATGACTGGTAAGGGGATCTTGACCCTTGTCTTGGTGTTGTCAGCACCACGCTCTCCCATGAGAGCCAACCAACCATCCCTATATTGGGATCCGAACCCGTGGCCTTGGTGTTATCAGCACCGCACTCTCCCAAGTGAGCCATGGGCCGGCCCTTTTAAACCACTTTTTAACTGTGCAATTCAGTGGCATTAAGTATATTCACATGTTGTGTGGCCATCACTACTATTTCCAGAACTTTATCATCATCCTGAGCAGAAACTCTGTACCTATTAACCAGGTACAGGTACATTTTCCATGGTGGGTAAGAATGATAGGTAAAAATATGTTCTCCGTGGAATGTCAGGAAGAAGAGGATGAAAAGGCATTTGAGAGGCGAGGGAAACGTAGGATTAGAAGGGGGCAGGGCTGTCACTAGCCCATGTGATGACTTCATGGGCAGAAGATGTTTCTACAGGCATCTCTTCCTCTGGCAGATGCAGCCTGCATGAGGCACCTGGTTGGGAACACAGAGCATGGGCCCTCGCTTGCCCCCTTGGCCAGTCCAGGAGCTGTGCAGCTGGGATATGAGGCCAGGTTGCCTCAACTGCAAAGCACATGACTTCTGGGTTCTGGGGCCACGCTGAAAGAGGGCCCTGAAGCACAAGTTCTAGTGGAGGATCTGCTGTGACAGGAAATAGGGAGCCACTGGGAGTTTTCTAGCTTGGAATATAAGCAGAATCAAATGGAGGAGATAATCAGACAGAAACCACTCAGGTCTCTATAATTCAAAGATGTCACTGGTTTAAAAGCATTTAGCAGTGTGAAAGTTTATGCATAGTTTGTCCGTTGCCTAATTATTAATCTCAGTTCTCTCTATATTTATAATTCCAGGGTACTGAAATGGCTAAATATTTTGAATCTCTGGTCAGAAATGACCCTTTCTTTGAAATTCCTGCCAAGAGGCACCTTGGCCTGGTGGTTTTTCGTCTAAAGGTAATGCCATCTTCCACGTCCTCCTTTGAATGAGGTTATTTGGTGTTCCAGAGTTGGTGGCTGTCGAGCTTCTTTGAAACATAAATGCTGGGCTGCTGGGGATGCTGATGAGGGCTGAGATGTAGACTTACTTATTTTTATCCTTCAAACAGGGTCCTAACTGTCTCACAGAAAGTGTGTTAAAGGAAATAGCTAAAGTTGGCCATCTCTTCCTCATCCCAGCCACTATCCAGGACAAGTTGATCATCCGTTTTACTGTGACATCCCAGTTTACCACCAGGGCTGACATCCTGAGCGACTGGAATCTCATTCGAGATGCTGCCACTCTCATCCTGAGTCAACACTGTACTTCCCAACCTAGCCCTCGGATTGGGAACCTCATACCCCAAATCAGGGGCTTTAGAGCCTTGGCCAAGGGAATGTCCCTTAAGTCTGTCAATGAGGCAGGAGATGACCCAGCGCAGGCCAGGAAGATCATCAAGCAGCCTCAGAGTGCGGGAGCCAGTCCTTTGAGAAGAGAAGACAACTGTCATCTTGAAACCCTGCTGGACCCATTTGATGACTGCTTTTCAGAAGAGGCCCCAGATGCCACCAAGCAGAAGCTATCCTCCTTCCTGTTCAGTTACTTGTCCGTGCAGAATAAGAAGACAGTACGTTCCCTTAGCTGCACCAGCGTGCCTGTGAGTGCTCAGAAGCCACTGCCCACAGATGGCTCTGTGAAGAATGGGAGTTCCTCCCGCGTCAGGATCTTTTCCAGGTTTCCAGAAGAGATGATGATGCTGAAGAAAAGTGCCTTCAAAAAACTAATCAAGTTCTACAGCGTCCCCAGCTTTCCTGAATGCAGCTCTCCGTGTGGGCTCCAGCTGCCCTGTTGCCCTCTGCAGGCCATGGTTTAGACCAGGGCTCTTTTGCCAGAGTCTGAGAATGTCCCTCAAAATTGTATGCCGACTTTGTATGATTACGTGCATATGCATTTTTCTTGGGAGTGAGTCTAAAATTTTTATCAGATTGTCATGGGGGTTCTTGACCCACAATAGGATACAAATGGAGAGTTTAAGCCAACATGATCCAGGAGGTTCCTGCAGTCTGGTCAGAGAGAAAGGGCTGAGGGTATTTGGTGTACTGACAGGTGGCTTCTGTGGTTCAGCTTGTGACATGGAATGTAACGTAGAAATAAATTGTGCTTGTCCCTGAAACAACGCATATCCTGTGTCTCAATTAACCACTGAAACATTGATTAATTAGCCAATCCTGGAGTCTAAATGCCTGTACCTCATAGATTCTGTTTTTCAGGATGCTGAAGATTTGAATCAACTGTGAGAAAATGGGTTCAGAGGAGCCCTTGGTAGTGAAAAAGGCAGGCAGCTCATATTTATGGGCATCAATTATTTCAGGCGCTGTGGCTTACAGTTTATAAATGAGGAAACTGAGGCTCCAGGTTACACAGCTGTAAGTGGGCAGAGCCAGGTCGCCTCGTTTTCAGGGAAGCCCATGCTGTTTCCACCATACGGTACTGTTCAAGGTTGTACTTGATCAGAAGCTCACAGTCTAGAAGGCCCCTCTGGTCCTTCCATATGTTGAAATATTTCTTCTCTAGGTTTCTAATTTGTGTGTTTTCCCTTTTTTCTGGACTTTGTAGTCAAATAAAAGCTACGCTGTAGGCAGCTTGTCCATGGTTAGTTAAGATGCCAAAAAGCCATTTTCTTCCCATTTCAGATGGCACTTTCATAAAGAGTGGCTCTTAAATCGATTATATGAGCGTGCCTGACTCCAGACCAGAAGGTTGTGTGAAATTGATTCTATGAAGGGTATCAAAGATAAACAAAGCCGGACCTAGTTAAAGTGATAAGGACAGACTTTAATCAGTACTGGACTACTGCAATAGGGAAAAGAGTCCACTGTGACGAATATCTGAACTCAACTTTGATTTGTGCAAAGGTGACTGGGTGTTTTATTATTTTTGCTTGTTTTGGGCAGCTGGCCGGTACAGGGATCGAACCCTGGACCTTGGTGCTATCAGCACCATGCTCTAACCAACTGAGCTAACCAGCCAGCCTTGACTGGGTATTTTAAAGGGAGAATGGGACAATAGAAAGGGTGGTCAGGGGGAACTAGGTAGATTCACAAGTGTGAAAAGTTGTAAAAAGCAGGGGGCGGTTGGTTTAGGTGAAACTAATCTGGGTTTAACTGGTGCTTATTGAAATTAGGCTCCAACCCTTCCACAGAAACCGAGAGACAGGGGCCTTATCTTCAGGTGTTGGCTGGAACAAACGGTAAATTCATTTGGGTTTTCTCAGCCTTGAGTTTTCTCAGACAGGCATGTTAAGGGGGTCATTTTAGGGAGGTGGCCTTAAGTTGTTAGAAACTATGTTAGTGTTTGTTCCAGTCTTTATAGGCCAAGCTTGAGGCCTAGTCAGGAAGAAGGCTCAGAGGAGCCTGTCTAGTGGCTGGTCAAGGAGAAAATCTTTGTCAAGAGCTTAAAACTTCCCGTTGCCCCCCATTCTCTTCAAGTGATCCCTGAAGTTTCCTGCATGCCAGAATCACCTGGGGGGGTCTTTAAAAAATACTGATGGCTGGTTCCCACTCCCAGAAATCTCAGTCTAATTGGTATGGGGTGGGCCTGGGCTCCAGGATTTTTTTTTTTTTTTTTTTTGTCCTTTTTGAGACCGGCCGCACCGTGCTCAGCCAGTGAGCGCTGTGAGCACTCCGGTCATCCCTATATAGGATCCAAATCCGCGGCGGGAGCGCTTCTGCGCTCCCAGCGCCATACTCTCCCGAGTGTGCCACGGGCTCGGCCCCAGGATTTTTAACAGTTCCCCACATGATTCTAATGTGCAGCAACGTTCGGGAACCACTGCTTTAGATACTCTTGCTATTCAAAGAGGGGTGTGGAGCCAGAAGCATTGGCACCCCCAGGAGGCTCTTATGCACTGCCCTAAGCCAGGGATTCTTACATTGAGCTTGCATCAGGACCACCTGTAGTGTTTGTCAAAATACTGATTTGGGCTCACCCCCAAAGTTTCTGATTCAGTAAGTCTGAGATAAGGCCCAATAATTTGCATTTCTGACAAGTTCCCAGGTGATGCTGATGCTACTGGTCCAGGGACCACATTCAACTACTGGTCTATGAAGATGTTCCCTTCCTGCAAGTGCTAGGTGGGAGCTTAGTGATGCCAAGTAGCTATTTAACCTCAGGCCTTAGTTTTTTCTTTTATAATTATTATTATTTTTTATTTTTTTTAAAAGATGACCGTAAGAGGATCTTAACCCTTGACTTGGTGTTGTCAGCACCACACTGTCCCAAGTGAGTTAACTGGCCATCCTTATATAGGTTTCTGAACCCGTGACCTTGGTGTTATCATCACCACACTCTCCCAAGTGAGCCACAGGCCCACCCTAGTTTTTTCTTTTATTAAATAAAGAGGTTTGACTAGATGCTCTCTAGGTTTACTCTTAGTTTTGCTATAGCATATCATAGTATGTGTTTCTGGTAAATAGATATAAGCTGCTAATTGATATGAATTTCCCAGAACAATTGCAGGCTTGAGATGACAAAGTGCTTCTTGATGCTGGGCCTCTCCTGAGGCCCACACTTTGAGCCAGTTCAGTCTCATTGCTGAGCTTCAGGTCTGAGAAACTGAGTTGCACTAAGTACACATGATTCATAACTTGGGATGCTTTTCCCCTACATCAGTGGTTCCCAGAATGTGGCCCCTGACCAACAGCATCAGCTTCACCTGGGAATTTGTTAGAAATGCAAATTCCAATTCCAATTCCAGCTTTGGGGATGGGACCCAGCACTCTGTGTTTTAACAAGACTTCCAGATTATTCTCAACGCTTGAGTTTGAGTACGTGAGCTAGAAGATGTGGATCACCTATTTAGCTCATCATCCTCCACCCCCAACCTCACACCCCTTGGCCAATAGAAAAGCTTACATGGGGAATCAGATGTGCATCAGTGTTGCTTGATGAGCAGGCAACAAATAATTATTGCCTACTATGTGCCAGGCACTGGAGATATATTGATGAGAGATGTAGATATTGTCTCAGTACTCAGGGGGTTTATAGAAGCAAGAAATCTGAACAAAGGGAAATTGACAAACATAAAGGAATGTACCCCCAGCCATACGCATACATTACAATATGACGTTCTGTGTGCTCTGGGAGACAACAGTCAAGCTGACTAGAAGACCTGTGTTGGCCATGCAGTCCCACCAACTGTAATGGCAAAATAATTATCGCAGGAAAGTTAAAACACAGACATAGGACTCTGACCCTCCTCCTATGGGTCTTTCCAGTCAATTTTCTTTGAGGGTCTGACCTGACTTCCTTGGAAGAGGCTTGGAAAACTCCATCACACTAGTGCTGAACCCATTTCTCGGGCCATAGCAGGCACCCACCAAATGCTTATAGAGTGTATGTATGAATAAGGAGCACATTTGAAAAGCCATCTCTTAGATGGTTGGCAACTATGGTTGGCTAATTTTATCCATTTTTATACTGATTCTCATTACCTTCCATTTCAGATGCTGACATTTCCTAGTTTTATCCCCAAATTATTTTGGTGCCTGTAGTGTTTTATGTATGCAGTGATTACAGGTTTCCAAACAGTACATTTGAAATCAAAGACCTGTTTTTTTTTTTTTTGTCTTTTGTCTTTTTCCGTGTCCGGCAACGGACTGCAACCCTCAGTGCTGCCCCCGTACCGGACAGGGGACCGGCAACGGGATCGCAACCCTCGGTGTTGCTCCCGCGCCTCGCTCAGCCAGTGAGCAGGAACCGGTCTGTATGTGGGATCCGAACCCTCGGGCGGGAGTGTTTTTTTTGTCTTTTTCCGTGTCCAGCAACGGATCGCAACCCTCAGTGTTGCCCCCGTACCGGACCGGGGACCGGCAACGGGATCACAACCCTCGGTGTTGCTCCCGCGCCTCGCTCAGCCAGTGAGCAGGAACCGGTCTGTATGTGGGATCCGAACCCTCGGGCGGGAGTGCTGCTGCGCTTCCCAAGCGGTGCACTATCCAGTGCGCCACCGGGCTGGCCCAAAGACCTGTTGAATGATTTACATGGGTATCAGCTTTGTTTTTTTTTTAAATTCATTTGTACTTTCAAATGAAGATGACTTGTGCAGGTATTTCTATGGGCACAATTTCTGATCCTTTTAAAAGAGAAAAATCAGTCTTTAAAGTTACTTATCCCTCATAGGTAATGGCTTAATTTTGTTTACATATGAGCGTATTTCAAAAAGTTTGTTGAAAAATAGAATTAAAAATAATACAAATCTTTCCATGAACTTTTTGAAGTGCCCTTGTACATGCAAACCCAGGAGTTCAGGATTTTGTGCTGGTGCCTCTGTCCTTCATGTGGAGTTGTGGTACCTGGCCAGAATCAAGAAGGTTTCTAAATGAAAGGTCTAAAACTTGGGTCAAAGGAGATCAGGGCCAAGCAGGCTCTGGTTAATGGAATACTAATGTTCTGGCTAAAGGTGGAAGTGCTGACCTATCACCCAGAAAGATGCCCCTTTTGGCACAGAATGGTAGCATTGCTTTAACCTGACCTCTGCTGATGCCCTGGTTCACTTTGACAAGATTCCATGTAATGCAATTACATAATGTGATACTCAAAAACAAAGGCCATGCTCTCTCCCATTACTTGGTTCAAATTCTTGCTAGCATATCAATGAAGCAAAGGCAGAGAGAGTTTTGCAAAAATTCCCAAGTGCTGGCCCACAAGCAATAATCATTCTAAATCACTGGAAAAATTCACAAAGATGCAGCATATCCAGAGTTTCCCTTGTGTCTTCTGCATTCTAAGCGCTTAGGAAAAGTATATTGTTAGGCATAGTGAGTGGGGGCAGGGATTCTGATCACAATTCTTTTTAGAAGTCACCTTTAAGAGTGGAGAGAGTGTGAAAAATATTTCTAGTATGGTGTTGGGGGTGGGGTGGCAGCCTCCCTCATTATATATCACTGAGAATCCCTATATGTTTGCCTGTGGTTGGGGGGACTAAATTGGGGAAAAATTAGGGCTCCTTGCCAGCTCCTCATTATCTGAGGATGTCCCTTAGGGTTAGTGAAGGAAATGCCATTACTTGTCAGTTGTGACAGACTTAGGTCACTCTTCCTGGATGTGGACTCAGTGATAAGCTTTAGGTAAGGAACACATTGTCTTGGGTGCCACTGCCAAGGACCTGCTGCTGGAACTCTGTTGCAGTGGGCACATGGAGAAGTGAAGGAGTTACACCCAGGAAGGAGGCAGCTGAGTGTAAGGAGAAAGAGCTTGCCTGAAAGAGCTCCTTGGTATTTCCCAAACCTTCCTGCGCCATGCCAAATGTCCCCAGGTACCTGAACAGGCTCCGCAAGCAGGCTACTGGTTGTGGAGTGAAGCCAGCTCCTCTCTGGAGAGCTGGGACTTACCTGGTCTACAGATACATTTTGTTTGGGATGCATGGAAGTTTTAAAAATTTTGAGGCTTCACATTTTAAAAGTTGGAAGATTCATACAGATATCTGGATTTCTGTTTTCTGAATAATCGGGGGATCCCAGCAGTACCTGACCTGTATTCCTATATGACTATACTCAGCTGACTGAAGCTGAATAGTGACTGGGCCTAAGTTTGCCACATTCATTTGTGAGCTGCTTCTCTCATCCTCATTACCTATATGAATCCTCAAGACACTTGGGCTTACAACCTTGATGTAGCTAAAAAATATGTATTGAACACCTTTTATGTCTAGAGCTCTGATGCTGTAGACTTAGGCTCCTGTAAGGACAATAGATGGCATTATCACCTGTTGGATAATGCTGTTTGAACACAGTGGCCAGGATGTTTATGTGTAAGGAAAACTGGCCTCCTTACACTGGAGCTGGATTTCCATTAGGTTTTCCATTGCTGATCCAATCCCCAACCACATCTTCTCCACCCCCTGCCATTTTTACCTAGAATGCAATTACTATTGTCAGTGGGACACCTGTGAAAAGTTACCAATAAGGATGTCAGGCTTGGAGTAACTTTGCATTTAGAATAAAATCAAGAAAACATAACAGACAGTGCCATCTCATATGTTGGTGATCATCTATTTTATTATATATTAAAAAAAATAATGCCCTCCTTCCAACAAGCTCAGTTTGTAAATACAAACATTAGGTACACATTGAAAAATAATTATCTCTAAATCTTTTCACTTGCAAAGGTTCAGGTGTAATTTAAAAAAAGTTTCTTCTTATTGGTATGCATAATTTCCTAAAAAAACACAACTGCACTTCACAATCTTCAATCAAATTAAAGTTGGATTACAGCAGGTGGCTGTGCTAGGTCCATTCAGTTAATTTGTGGAAATATTATGAATTATCCTTCTGGGAATATTCAGAGTTTCAGGGTTTTGTCACTTATGGCTTTATAAATGTCCTCAGTCATAGGCACATACATTTTTGCTGTGTCATCCAAGAAATACAAGGCATCTTTGATGACTGCAGGGTTAAAGCCCTCCTCCGCGAGGGTCACTTTGCGGTGTTTAAAAGTTCCAGTGATCTCAATGGTGTCCTGAAAAACACCAAATAATCCACATTGTGATTACATCTTGCAACAGATAAGGGTGCATGGTGAGGGGTCGGGGTGGGGCATGGGGGTTTGCAACTCACAAGCATCCCTGTCTCATGTGGAGCTGTGAAGTGAGCTTTGGATGATACTCACACATCACGTTTTCAGAATCTCCACTAGGGGGCCCATTTGTAAGGTATTTTTTTATTCCCTTAAAGCTCTGGGATCCCCTGTGGGGAATGAGGGGCTGCCAATAGTAAGACACTTGTGCGTAGATTTCTGAGCAGAGGAGTGGCACCTCTTGCTTGGTGAGGCTTCGGGTAGTACTGGAATATCTTGACTAATGGTGGGAATGGGAGAAAGGATCACTCACACACGTACAACTCTGTTTGCTCAGTCTATGGGTCTTTTAGACTGAAGACTGGTTTTTCCATCAATTAATATGTTAATTGAAATATCTGAGGTTATTTCATTTTCATGTCTCCTTACCATCAGGTTGCAAAGCAAATGTAAGTTCTTTATGAACATCAATGGGAATAACGTTTTACACTCAACAATATCTAGAATCCCAAGACCTCTTTTTCTCAAGTCTTCAACTACAGAATCACGGAGCTCAAAGTCCATAAGTCAGAGTGTTAAACCAACCAAAGAGTTAATATTTAAGGAAGAAAAAACATCCTTTTAGTGGCAATAGTTAAGTTTTCAGATAGTTCTACCTGCCTAATGATGCCCAATTAATTGTCACATCAATAAAGGTGTAGGACTTCAGTGCATTTTTCCATTCTTTAAAACTGGAAACAACAGGATGGTCAGAGCGTTTCTACTTGAAGCGTCTGTCATACCTCACTCCACGCAGACTTTGTGAGTTATTTACTGACTTGCTGAATGAACTGGCCTGTCACTTTAGGGAGAAAGGAATTAGGATTGGATTTCTGCTAGCTATATTTTCTGATAGTTCTACTTCTTTATTGACCCACGATACTTCTTTCTGAGCTTCCTGGAAAGGGTGGTGAAAATTTGGCAAATGGGGTCACCACGGGAGAAGGGGAGTCGTTCCCTGACAGAGGTCTCCAAGAGAGAGGATAACTAAACTTGGCAAGACGACTCGCCTGTATTCTTAGAAACCGGGGCCTTGCATACGTAGGCAGGTAATCAGCAATGTGCTGAAAGAGTTTCTTTCCATCAAATTCATGGTTTTCTTTCATCTTGATCGAGGCCATGCCAATTCGACCCTCATGACCTACAAATAACGTGACAAAAAATTAGATGTGTTGTAGCTATTTATTTATGATATTTTGCTAGTTCAAAGAACTGTGGACTGAGACAACATAGACAACATTATGGCATGTATTTCTTTTGGACAGCTGGAATTTTTATTTCAAGCATGTCAACATTATTCTAAAGTGAATATACGAATACTAATAGTAATAACAGCAGGACATTAATTGAATCTATATTATATGCCAGGCCCTATACCAAGTGTGTTTTATGGATTGTCTCATTTAACCCTCACAAAAACCTTATGAAGAGGTACAAATGTCATCTCCATTTTACAGATGAACAAATTGAGGCTTAAAGATATCAACAGACTTATTCAAGGTTACACAGCAAATACTAGGCAGGGTCAGACATCAAATCCAGGCAGGCTGGCTCTTGATTCTGTTCTTGTAACCATCGTCTTTCTTCTTAGTAGCCTGTATGACAATCTCTGAGTGGGAAACAGGTACAACTGGTGGCTGAAGAAGTTTTTCTGATCCCGGTGAAAAGTCCCTGCACTGCTGTCACGAGGCTGTCATGAATAACTGAGCTCAGGTTGCAGTGTCAGGTCTGTTGCACCTCCAGGTACAAACACCACCTTTGAGAATTACTTATTTAATCAAGGTTCCTAATAGCTTTTTCTCTGCATTTCAGAGAGGCTGCGGGACAGAGGGTGGGGGCAGGTGCAGAGGTGAACTGTTGGGTGCCCTCCTACCTACTGTCCCCAGAGGATGGGCTCTCTGCAGAGCAAACAGATCCTAATAGCAGGGTCGTTAGTGGTCAAGGTTCCTAATAGCTTTTTCTCTGCATTTCAGAGAGGCTGCGGGACAGAGGGTGGGGGCTGGTGCAGAGGTGAACTGTTGGGTGCCCTCCTACCTACTGTCCCCAGAGGATGGGCTCTCTGCAGAGCAAACAGATCCTAATAGCAGGGTCGTTAGTGTAGAGGTGTTTAGCACAATTACTATTGTTTTCTTGTGAGGACAGTGGTAATTAGGTTTTAATATGCTTTCTACCTGATCTGGTAGAGTCCAGGTCCACTTCCCTAAACAACTTAGCTATAATCAGAGAGTGGGGAAGGAGCTGCCCTTGGTCACCTGGGCCCCAGCTTGCGAAATCTCTTCCATGGTGATTGTGATTACCTATGGCTCTAAAGAAGGCAAAAAATAAAAGGGGGAAAAGAAAAGAAATGCCCCCTTATTTGGTTTGCCTCTCATTAAGGAAGGGCGGCAGGGCACCAGGCCCTCTTTCTTTAGGGATCTCTGGCACCTGCCTGAGAAATCTTGAATATCTCCAATAAGCTCCTTTTAGAATTAAGGCAGAAGCAACAGAAATCCTCTGCATTTACTGGCTCCTGCTTCTTGCTCTGATAGTGGCAATGCTGGACCAAGATGGTGAATGGGCCTGTGGGCTCTCACGCTTCTGCCCTGACTCCCAGATGTTAGTTTGGGACTAATTCAGCTCCAGGGGGAGGGTTCCACTCTACAACAGTCCAGGCTACATCTAAAGATCAGTTCTGGCAAGGGGTTCCCTAGAGCTGCACCGTACAATACGGCAGCCACTGGTCACATATGACTATTAAGACTAAAATTAATTATAATTAAATAAAATAAAAAATCCAATTCCTCAGTTGCACTAGCCACATTTCAAGTGCTCAGTAGCCACATGGTGGCTACTAGATACCATACTGGACAGTGAAGATACAGAACATTTTCATCACTGCAGAAAGTTCTGTTGAGAATAGGAAGTTCTATTGTATATTGTAATGATGAATAAGCTAATTATACTGATGTAACCACCACACACTCTACACAATTATTGAGAATCAATGTTGTACCCCACATGTATGTATAATAAAAAATAAAGAATAAAAAAAGAGAATAGAAAGTTCTAGAGAGTAGTTGGGCAGTTCTGTTGTGATACCTAGAAAAACAACTCCATTCTAGACCCAAACCTAGAAGTTCCCTCCTGGTCCAAAGCTGAGATCTGTGAAGACATTCACAGAATCACCCATAGTGGACTGATGCCTCACTTTAGAAGGGCTGGAATGGGGCTGGCCTTAGTGGATGGGAGGTCAGACAGGTGTGGCACTGAGAATCACAGAATCTGAAAGCTGGAAGGGACATTAGAGTTTATCTCTAATCTTTCACTGCTGCAAGAATTCTCCCAGGATCCCAGGTGGACATCCAACTTCTCTTTACATTCCCTGCCACAGGAGACAAGCCTATTTTATTGTTGGTTCCTCTGGTTACAGGGGAGTTTTCAGGCTAAATCTGCTCCTTGGTCATTTCAGTCTGTTGGTTTTAGTTCAGATTGTTGGAGCAACACGGGACAACCTGTTCCTTGTTCTACCTGACTGTCTTCCAACCATTTGAAGACCATTAATCTCCTCTTCTTTGTTCTACATCAGTGGCTCCCCAAACTTACAGGTTGTTAGACACACTTGGGAATTAAAAAAAACAAAACAAAATACACGCAGATTCTGAATTCCAAACCCTAGAGGTTCTGAATTATTAGATGTAGGCTTTCAAAAGTTTCCCAATGATTCTGATGATTGGCCAAACTTTCAGAACCAGTGGGCTTTAGTACTTCTCAGACTTAAATGTTTTTGTTTTTAAAAAAAAAATTTGGTAAAGCACAAAACATAAAATCCATCATTTTAGCCATTTTAAAGTGTACAATTCAGCAGCATTTAGAACGCCCACAATGTGTGATCATCACCAGTATCTAGTTCTAGGTTGTTTTCTGGCATGGTCCATGCTATGGCAGAGTCCTAAAAAGAATAGCTTGGGCTGCCCTCTCCGAGTTGGCAAGGCTGCCGGAGGGAGAGCTGCTGGCAGGACCGCGGCTACGAGAACTTGCTTTCGCTGTAAGGATCTCTGCCTTGGCATAGTGGTACTGCTTTTACTTTCTCTTTTGATGTTTTGGTCAGCGTGGCAGTTTCCTGAGTTTCCAAAAGACGCAGAAAATGACACACAAACAGTTGTTGTCATAAAATTAGATAGTCCCACCAAAGATCTTTGAAGATTGAACAATTCCCAATTGTCCCTTTTGAGTCAATTAATTATGCCAACGGATGTTTCAAAAACATTGGTTACAATTAATCATGAGCAATTGCCTTTACCAGAGAAATTTATAAATAAAAGAAGTCCCCATCCTCTTCCCACCATCTGGGTAAATGGTTACATGGGATATAATATGAGAAAGGGAAAAATTTGGTACCCTCCCAGGGCACGTCCAAAGTATGATCTAAGTTGGCAAACATCATTTACTAGAGATTGTATTAATGGCAAGAGAATGGTTGGCATTAATGAGAAATTATATGATTGGGACAAATTAAGTATATGGGAACGAAACTGTAGAACCCCCTTTACTTGGTGGTATCCAGTTATAAATAGATCATTAAGAATCAGGTGTTGGGATAGAAATATATGCTGTAAAATTATTAAACCTGCAAAACTAGATCTTAGAAAAATAAAAGAGTACACCTAGTTTTGTGAGGGATGGTGTGGTGCACAAGGACACTTTAACGTTTAGATCAAGATTACAGGGCCACAGCCAATGCATATCCTTAAAATGTGCATGATAATGCTGCTCAAATATCCAGTGTTCTTTTTCCATATGAACAGTAGGTTCATTTACATTTAAGACAAAATAGCTGCCACCCTGTTAATAGGGTGGATATATATATATTTTTTTGTCTTTTTTTCCGTGTCCGGCAACGGATCGCAACCCTCAGTGTCGCCCCCGTACTGGACCGGGGACCGGCAACGGGATCGCAAACCTCGGTGCTGCTCCCGCGCCCCGCTCAGCCAGTGAGCGGGAACTGGTCTATATGTGGGATCCGAACCCTCGGGCGGGAGCGCCGCCGCGCTTCCCAAGCGGCGCACTATCCAGTGCGCCACCGGGCCGGCCAATAGGGTGGATATTAACCACAGCTTGCTAACAGAAAAAAGTCACAGGATAACTTCAAGACAATTAAGGGATGGTTCGGATCTTATAACCTGATCCCAGGAAAAAGAAGCTCGAGTTGATCACCTGAGACATGCTGACAAAAGGAAAGGACTGGCTGACCTCTAAAAAAGTTTCCTCCCTGCTTTTTGGACTATTGATTTAAGCTTGCTGATACAATAAAAATAGTACCCAAAACCCCCCTGCAGAGAAAAATCTAAATAAAAGGCATTGTCTCATGCTCTACTGGGCTCCAGCTGCAACATGCTGACAGCCCGCAGAGAGAGAACATGCATATTGATGCATTGAGGTTTCTGTGTTTGTTATTTTTGCTGACTCCTCACCCCTTTTTCAAGGACCCCCAACTCGACTGGAGCTGCCAGCCCGCAGAGAGAGAACATGCATATTGATGCATTGAGGTTTCTGTGTTTGTTATTTTTGCCAACTCCTCACCCCTTTTTCAAGGACCCCCAACTCGACTGGAGCTGGTCTTCAGCAGTTTTCATCACTCCCAAGTCAGACTTTAATGTTTTTCAGAATCACGGGAGGGCTTGAGAAAACACAGCTTCCTGGGCTCCACCCCAGAGACTGACTCAGTAGGTCTGGGGAAGGGCCTAAGAAACTGCATTTCTAACAAGCTACCGGGGGTGATGTTGATACTGCTGGTCCAGGGACCCCATCTGAGGAACACTGGGCCAGGTCCTTCTGTTCCATTTTCCAGATTCTCCTGCCTTCTCATACATACTCTTTTGTGTAGTTACTCTTTTAAATTAAGCATTTGGAAGCACACCCAACATTATAGGAGGGGTCTGTGAGAGCCCAGCATGGTATGATGGCCAACCACCACGACTTGGACCCTGGTGTTAATTCAGCCTCAGGTCTGATACACTCTCCTTGGGACAACATGAGGAGTATTCTGTACCCCTCACGCTCTGTGACCTGAGATGTGGCTATACTCCCCCTCGTGTCACTGTCACAGGGTCGAAGAGAAGCAGGCATGAGAAATTCTCGAATATTCTTTAAAAAATAAAAGGGTAACACAAGGTCATGTGAAACTTATAGCTCAGGGAGAAGGGACTTTTTGATTTCTACTTTGAATATAGGTGAGAATCCTAAATACTGAGTTCTGGGGGAATAATACTACCCCTAGCGTCTTATATTTGGACAGTGATTTGGAGGTTTGAATCCTCTCTGACATCTATAACTGACATGATTTATTGTCATGATAACACTCATGTATATATTTGATAAATACATGTTTAGCATTTGTGTAATTAAAATGAATTCTTTCTCTCAACAACCTTAATTGCAGGGCTGGTATTATCTCTAACTTTAGTGATGTGCCTGAAGTCAAATAGCCAGCAGGTGTTGCAGCCAGGACTCAAGGTCAGACCAGGCCCCACCCCCGGCTGGCAGAAGCAGATCTGAGGACGGAGCTGAGGTGTTGACATTCTGGGTGTCTGAAACTTAGTGGGGTGGGCTGCGGTCACGGACCTTCCTAAAAAGAAGAGGTTGGACAAAATCAGCTCCTCCCCAGTTTTTTCTCCTAGCAACTGTACTTACTCTCACTTGTGCCTCCCACTTCTGAGGCCAAGGCACCATTTCCCAGCCCTCAGGCATGATACAGCTTTTCTCGAGGCATGCCAAACACAGCATGGGACCCTGCATCTCCCAGACTCAGCCTGCCAGAGAGCCCAAGAACAGCTGGGAGCTGAACCACAGAGGAAAGCCAGGTTCCCATGTACTGAGTTGGCTATTACAATGGAACATAACCAGACATAAGCTTCTTTCTCCCTGGTGGCTGAAAGAGCTGTTCAATTCTCCAGCTGGCAAGAGAAAGCAATGACAAACCTGCCCTCGGGTTAAAATTATGTTCAGTTACAGATTTATAATATCTCATTATACCTGGTATGGGTACTCCATAAACATTCACTTCCTGGATAAAATCAACCAGTCCTACTGTGTCAGCAACTTCAGTGGTGGCCACATTTTCCCCTTTCCATCTGGAAGAAAAGGCAAGGTTAGTAGAGGTCTCTGGTGGTTTCTGGCCCAGGCTGCAATGACTGCAAAGAGCAGGTGTTTCCTTCAGACCTCTGCTGGGTAGCTGGTCTGGTCTTCCCTACCTGAGCCCCCCAAACTCCCCAACTTAGTCCCAGCTGAAGCATCCTGCTTGAGGCATAAAAGGCAAAGGCACAGACCTCGATAATAAAATATGGAATTTCAGTCTCTCCACATAAAACACAATACACAGAATGATGTTCTAATGTTAAAATGGAGCCTTGGGACTCGCCAGTTACCTGAGTTGGTTAGAGCACAGTGCTACAACATGAAGTGCAAGGGTTTGGATCCCTGAACTGGCCAGCCATCAAAAAAAAAAAAAAAAAAAAAAAAAAAAAAAAAGTACCGGCTTGGCCAAGAAAGGCACTGGAAATCTGAATAAATCTCAACTATTTTTTGCTGTGTTGAGGTTTCTCACTTTTCTCATTTACTAATGTAAGTTGCTATTTAATTCAGTTAGTGAAGTTCTATTTCATAGAATTTCATATTTATGTTTCAGGATTTCATAGCAACAAGAAAGCTTTTAATTAAAAAGGAAAAAAATCATACCTTAGTTAAGGGGAGATTGTAATGTTAAGGCCCAACCAGGTGGTATTTAGCACTTAATAAAGAATTAAAATTTTGTTTTACATAAAAAAATTCTTTAGATCTCCCAGAAGTATCTTCTTAATAACATGAAGGTGGCATAAAATAATGACATGGATCCTGAGTCATGGAATATTAGAGATGGAAGGAACCCTGAGAATCATCAAGACCTTCATTTCATGGGTAAATGAACTGAAGTTAATAAGTTACCTGCCTTGATAACACTGCTGGGGGGTAGAGGTGAGCCTAGGAGCTGGGTTCTCATTCAACCCTGTGATCTTTCTACTACAGCCAGACAGCTTCTATCACTTCCTCATTCCCTCATTCAAAAAGTAATAACAGTTGTCCCTTTGTATCTGCAGGGGTTTGGTTCCAAGACCTCCTGTGGATAGTAAAATCCATGGATGCTCAAGTCCCTTACAAAACGGTGTAGTATTTGCATATAACCTATGCACAACCTCCCATATACTTTAAATCATCTCTAGATTACTTATAATACCTAATGCAATGTAATAGTTGTTATACTGCATTGTTTTTAAAATTTGTATTATTTCTTATTGTTGTATTGTTATTCTTTTGTTATTTTTTTTCCCAAATATTTTCCATCCACAGTTGGTAAAATCTGGGAATGTGGAAACCTTGATTATACAGGGTTGAACTATATGTATGTCAGGCAGTGTGCTAGGTGCTGGGGGGTGAACAAGCAGACACAGGGCCTGTCCTCAGGGAGTTTACATAGGAAGGAAGCCCATGTCATGAGGCTGGAGGACTGTGCTATTGTTGGGATTTAATTTCATGGTCTATTAGAAGGATTTTCAAACTTCCTTGTGCTGACCTAGGGCTTCTGTGGGAAACCGTCTATTTGGAGAAGGAGGGTGGGAGGGAGGGGAGGAGGAAGAACTCTGAACCCCTCACCTCCTCTTCAACCAGATCAGCTCCACATTAATTTGCATTTGATTTTATCTAAAGAAAGCCCCATGAATGGAAGCAGTGTAAAAATCCCTGGCTGTCCTAAGAGTGACCAGTAATAATGCAGGACAAAAGAGAGAAGTTGGATGGACTTTAGGCTCTAGAAATGAGACACAGGTTTCCTGCCTTATTCTCATCTGGTGTTGTTCAACCAAGTTAACTGCACTGCAGGGCGACCCTTCATGCATTTTGCTCCTTATTCTCTGGGAATACAGGAGATTGAATTGACAAGCCAAAGAGACAGAAAGGAATGAAGCATGATAACCAAAGTGGAATGCAATTCCAATGTAAGAGTAAGCTAGAGTGTTTGCATGTGTTTGTTTTTGGCTCAATCATTCAGAGAAACCGACCGGAATGTATCTCCAACTCTGTCGTGGAAGTAGATGAAGTTTTCATGGTCAATCACTAAGAGATCTCCACTGTTGAAATAGAGGTCTCCTTTCTTAAAGACATCTCTCAGTTTTTTCTTCTCTGTATGAGTCTTTCCTCCAGCATAGCCAGTAAATGGCGTAAGTTGTGTGATTCTGCAAATCAGGAGTCCGACTTCACCTAAGACAGAGAAGTTAATTGTTGTTTTATGTGCTAGAGGTAAGCAAATTTATACACCAACCTTCTCTTAAAACTGATACCGTAAAACTCACCATCAAAGAGCTGGCTGCAGAAAGTGTAATTTTCCATGCACACATACACATGAATTATATACACATATATACACCACACACATCTACTATACATTATTCTATATGGCCATGCATTTGTAATTCTTTTACTGAATAATGATTTACACATATAAGTAGACAAAAGTCCACTGTACCTTTGGGAACTCTGATGCAATATCCATTTCCATCTCGAACAGGTTCATCTTTCTCCACATCATATTTTATCAGCTCATAAGTTATGACTTTCTAGCAAAATTAAAATATACCATTTTAAGTACAGACTCTTTTACAATTTTTTTTATTGTGGTATAACATAAAGTATGTAAAGTACACATATCTTAAGTGGCTAATAATTACATCCAAATACTGTCATATTTGCATTTCTATGGTAATAGGGAAAATAATATACTTATTGTTCTTACTGAATTACTTAAATTCTTATGTCATTAAATGATATATTAAGTATGATAGAGTTTTAATAATTTTATAGTCATGGGCATGAAATAATTATACTTTTGATCCTTAAGTATATTGGATAACATGTCCCTGGAAATGTGAAACATTAATATTAATATAAGATTATATGATTTTTTCAAACCCATTTGTAATACATTTACCAAAAGACATGTACAAGAATGTTCATAACACCTTTATTTATAACAGTCCCAAACTAGAAATAATCCAAATACCCATTAACAGGAGAACGAATAAATAAATAAATAGAGGTATAGTCATACAAGGGAAAATTGCATCGCAATAAAAATAAACCACTTGTTGAAACACCAACATGAATGGATGGAAGTCACAGACATCATTATGACATAGCTTTTAAGAAATCTCTGGAAATCAGCTCCACGTGCTCTCATTTTTCATGTACTTACTTTCTGTAGGTAGTTTACTCTTCCGACAGCACCAATTTTTCTTGTGTAATTCAGAAATCCAATATTGCCTTCAGTGGAGGCATAGAACTCATAAATGTGAATGTCTCCAAATCTCTTGATGAATTCTCTCCATACATCTGCTCGTAAGCCATTTCCCATTGCAGCTCTCACTTTATGATCACGATCACTCGGTTTCTATGGTGGGGGAGAAAGAAGAGACCAAACTGAAACATCTCTGGAGCCTGTACTCATATATTAATAATTGCCTTTTTTACATATTTAATTTATACTAATAATTCCTTTATTTTATTACATATTTGTGTTGGTTTCAAATTTACCTTAGTGCATGCCTTTCTTGACACCTTTGCACTTTATCCCCTCTCCCTCCCACACAAGCAGTATGGTCTGACTGCTATAACTCTGATTTATTAACCAAAATACTTGGATTTTCCCATTTTGATTTTTTTTTTCCTTTTTGTCTTTTTCCGTGTCCAGTAACGGATTGCAACCCTCAGTGTCGCCCCCGTACCGGACTGGGACCGGCAACGGGATCGCAACCCTCAGTGCTGCTCCCGCGCCTCGCTCAGCCAGTGAGCGGGAACCGGTCTGTATGTGGGATCCGAACCCTCGGCGGGAGCGCCACCACACTCCCAAGCGGCGCACTGCAGCAGTGCGCCACCGGGCTAGCCCCCCATTTTGATTTTTAAGGGGCAAAATGAGATAATCTGACAGAACCAGGTGATACCAATGTTTAATCCATATCCAATCTAAAGTTAGGATAATGTGTTAATAGCTTCCTTGATGGGGCTGGTGAATATCAGTGAACTGCCACAAAGGAGGGGCCAATGGGGAAACTGTGTCAGAGACCTACATGATCTATCACCAGTAGGACCCTGGGTGGTGTCTCTCATGCTGAAGAAAAGTGGGAACACAGTCCAGTGTGTGTCTGTGTGTGTGTGTGTGAGAGAGAGAGAACCATTTTCCATAAAGTCAGTAAAAAGCCTGGAGGTACTGGTAAGAAGAATCTCGATCATGCCCTCATTTAACAGGTAAACTCAGGGGTCACAAGACCAGCTGGAGCTGAACCAAGACAAAACCATCCCAATGGGATTGGAAGGGGAAAAGAAGGAGGAAACTGGCTCCCAGTTGCCTCAGGTGGCCTGGGAAAAATATGCTTTGCTATAAATAAAAACCACAAAGGAAAATCTGTTTTGATTAGGAGAGCTTGTGTCAGCAAGAGAGGTTGGGCTGGGACCAGCTGCCTTCTATTCAGCCCTACTCACTCAAGAGGGCCCTATGGACATGTCCAAACCGATGGAAATTTTAATGATATTTTATATTAATAAGGCAGTTTATGTCCTCCAGGAGATTAAAGCCTGGTGGATGAGACAGGCAAATAACAAGTATAATTTTAACTTGCAAATTCTGTTGCTCTATGGCCTTTGTTCTAATAAGGAACAGAATGGGATGGGGTAAAAGTGCGGGTAACTTGGCCTCTCCTCTCACATCGAGTGTTAATTTCTTTGATCAAACAACAGTTGCTTAAATTAGAGCACTTTGTACATTATTTCCTACACTGTGAAGTCACTGCAAAGTGATTTTGGAATAAAATTTCTCTTCCAAAAGACCTGTTGGAAGAGAGAAGCTGCTCTGTAAGGGGAGGGACTTTGATGTGGCAGTTAAAAATCAAACCAAAACAAACCTTGAATTGGTTTCCATGCAGGAGGAGCTAAGGGAGGCAGAAAACATGCATTTAATTTTTAAGTAGCTCATTGGCCAAAACTTAGGTGGTGAAGCTCCCTCAGGAGTCCTAACCACAGAGATGGACAAATACTGGTCACTGGTACAAATGGGCCCCATGCCAGTGGCTTTTTTTCCTGTGTGTGGCTGGTTGGTACAGGGACTGGACCCTGGATCTTGGTGTTATCAGCACTATGCTTTAACCAGCTGAGCTACCTGGCCAGCTGCCAGTGACCCTTAACCAGGGCGTTCAGGAGAGTCACCTAAGAAGCCTCTTGAACTTGCAGGAACCCTGGACATTCTGACTAAGTAGGAATGTGCTCTTTAATCGGCTTCCTAGGTCCACAGGTCACCGACTCCATTCCCTTTTATAATTTCCTGTAAGTAGCTCTAAGTAGGTAGAGCATATGTCTGGTCTACGAAGGCCAGTCCTGGTTTCTGCCTGTGGTCCTGGTGTGCTTATTACCTTTCACTCTCAAGCACCCTGGTTTGGATAATGAATGGTAGGGTCAGCCTGCCCAGAAGGCACTATCCTCCTCAGTAACGACTGCACTTTGCAGAGACCAACCCTGCCCCACACACTGCTGTTTCTCTCTGCCTCTCTAAGAATAAAACATCATGAATATTTGAATACTTACTTTTGCTTCAAAATAATCACCTGACCTGGGTGCTTACCTTCTCCCAGGCCTGCATGAGAAGCTCCAAAGTAGCTTTCCCATGTGTGAACCCCTGACCTTACCTATTCCACATGCAGCCCACAGTCAGCCCTCCTCTCACCTGCTTATTTCCTTATCTAATGGGTGGTGAACATCTATCTCCCCTCAAAAATGAAAGGCCAGGGCCGGCCCGGTGGCGTACTGGATAGTGCGCTGCTTGGGAAGCGCGGCGGCGCTCCCGCCCGAGGGTTCGGATCCCACATACAGACCAGTTCCCGCTTGCTGGCTGAGCGAGGCGCGGGAGCAACACCGAGGGTTGCAATCCCGTTGCCGGTCCCCGGTCCGGTGGTGACACTGAGGGTTGCGATCCGTTGCCAGACACGGAAAAAAGACAAAAGACAAAAAAAAAAAAAAAAAAGAAAGGCCAAATATATCTCTGTATCATCCACAGTGCCTGCATCTGTGCTTTGCATATGGTATAATCCCTGCAGTAAAATAAATAACCATCACCAGGAAACCCTCAGTTTCCATGTTCAATGGCCAGTACCCAGGACATCAGCACAAGGGCAGGGCTTAGAGTGCAGGAGTCTGCAGGTGCCCTCGGTGTGTGGGAGAATGGCCAGCCTCACAGGTGCAGCTGTCACCTGTGGGTGGCAGGTAGCTGGGCTCATAATCACAATACCACGGGCTCAGTTTTCATCACACAACTGAGGGATCTTATTACATTGGCAGAGGGAATTAAAGCTCTAGACTGAAAATGTTTGTGGACACCAATGGGAGATCCTGGAGCCTTCTAAGATGTCTAGTTCTCACCTAGCTTTCGCTCACTGGTGGCTGAAAACAGAGTATGACTTGAGTTTTCCTTTCCCACAGGGGAAAGAGTGCTTTGCCATCACCAGAGCCATTCCTCAAAGGAAATGATTTTTAGGTCAAGGGTCACCTGTTCATTTAACGAGGATCAAACCTTTTATTCTACATTAGAGCTAAGGTGTAACATGCAAACACACCTGGGGGACTTAAATCCACTGGGACTTAATGACTGCTGAAGGGTGGGAGGTGAAGGTGTCCAGGGAGGAAGGTAGGGTGCCAGGTAATGAGAGTAAGCAGGAAGCTCTTACTGAGGACTTTTCTGTGTATCAGGCATTTAACCTGGATTATCTTACTAAAGTTTCTAAAGAATCCTACCCAAAATGTCACAGGTAATAAGGCATTCGCCTCATATTACAATTGAGGAACTAAAGCCTCAGGAAGCTTAAAATAATTTGCCTAAGATCACAAAGGTAGCAAAATAGTTGCTCCAAGATTCAAAGTCAAATCTATGTGACTCCAGAGAGCTATTTTCCTTAATTAAAAAAAAAGAAAGAAAAGAAGTAAAAAAGGAAAAAAAAAAAAAAACAGAAAAAAGAAAAGAGAGTGACACACACGTAGTTTAAGAATCAAACAGGATCATATAAAGGATGCTGTGTTGATTCCCCTCACGTGTCTCCCCACGCTTTGCCCCCAGCTTACTGCCCAGAGGTGGACACTTTTAACTCTTGTAGCTGTTTCTTCTTATTTCCATATTTCTAAATTAAATGCTTATATTGATAGTCTTGAGTAATCAATTTTAGATTTTCTACTGTGCTAGGTGAGGACTAAGCTCTCTCCCATTTTTCCAGTATCACAATTTTTGGTTAAATCAATATTCAGTGCTCACATTATTTTGCCCATATACACCACTGATGAGTCAAGTTATCTATGGACAAATTCTTGAACAAATTTTTGTTTTTTTTCCTGGAATTGCCTCCCTGCTTCATTTTCTTACTGTCTACAGATATTTGTGTTTCCTCCACTGCCTCAAATATAATATTCCTCATGGAAAAATCTATCAGATGATATAATTTCCTTTTATCCATCTGCTCCAATCTGGACTAGCTGCTCTCTGGGCCTTGAGATTCCCTTTGTCTCTCTTTTCTGGATTCTGTGTCTTCCTCTTTCTTTTTTCACTTTCCAGTTTAGATGGAACAATTTCTCTAGTAATTTCCTGAAGGAGCATATGTAAGAGGTAAGTTTTTTTTTTTTTTTGACTCTGAATGTCTGAAAATATTCTTATTATACACCTGATTGATAATTCGACTGGATATAGAATTCTAGATATGCAATAATTTTTACTTAGAATTTTGAAAGCCCCACTCCTTTGTCTTCCAGCTTGTGGTATTGCTCTTGGCAAGTCAAATTTCATTCTTATATAATCTTTTCTCTCTCTTTTGGTAGTCTTAAATTTCATCATGATGTCCTTTTTTTCAATGCACTAATTTTACTGGGTACTCAGCTGGCCCTTTAAATCTGTCCTTCAGTTGTGGGATGTCTTCTTGTATTATTTCTTTAATAATTTCCTTCTCTCCATTTTCTCTATTCTCTTTTCCTGATTTCCTATTAATTTTATGTTGGACTTCAACTGATCTCTAATTTTCTTATCTAGTCTCCCTTCATGTCCATCAATTTATATTTTTGTTCAACTTTCTTTAAGATTTCTCAACTTTATCTTCCAGCCTTTCAATGAATTAAAGATTTTTTAAAATCATTTTTATTTTCAGGTCTTACTCTGTTTTTATTTTTTTGTAGCACACTATTCTTGTTTTATGGATAAAATAATTTCTCTAATCTCTCTGAGGATATTAATTATAGGCTTTTGGAAGTTTCTCCTGTTCTTCGAATTGATGCTATTTCTTCTTTTATTTTGATGATCTTTCCCATTGGAGGCTTTCCTTAGGTGTCTGGTGGTCCTTAATGTCTGTTAATATTTAAGGGTAAGGCAACAAAAAGATGATTAAGCAGCTCTGTGTGGGGGGCACTGTTATGTGATGAGGCAGTAAGCCAATGTCCAATCTCATTTCTGGGAAAGTTGAGTTCTTTCTAAGAATGACCCTCCTCAAGGCTCCCTCCTGCCTGCATGTATAAACTGGCTACTGAAGTTCTGGAAGCTGTGTACAGGAAAGGAACTGGGGCTCTCCCTGGTCAGTATGTGGATATGTTTACTCAGTCTTTATTTTCAGTGCCTTACCCCTCTCCTCCTCCATTCTTGGGGTCCTTGAGTTCAAATCTTCTTTAGATCTCCCCCAGAGCATAAACCTCCTGTCTCCTATGGGATGGTGAGGGGAGCAGCAGGTCTAGCTATTTCTTATACAAATTTTCAAATAATCCTCACCCCACCTTCCATCATATTCAGTGCCTCCAATTTCTCAGCCAATTTCTTCTTGGTACCTGTCTCTGAATTTCTTACTCAGCCCTACTACGGCAGTCGCCTCCATCTTTCAGCTTTCTGTCCTATGTAGTTCATGGTTGCACATTTCTTAGTTTCTCAGAAGATGGAGCTTGGGTGTGTTTTTCTTGTCTTCCTTGTTTTGGGGTGACTTCCAAGAGGTGAAAGGACAGAAGGTGTTTATCATATTAGCAAAATTCCAGAGTCCATGTTCCAAAGTCCATAACTAATATGCTATACTTCTGCCCGGATGAAGTTCCACCTGTCTGTTTTACAGAAGAGGTGTTTCTCCCTCCAATGTATTGTCTCCAAACGGAGAACTCTGCTAGATTCTCCCTAAAAATGCCATCACTCGCATCACTCTTCCACGCAAAGCCCCTTAGTCATGATTTGTCACGCTCACATTTCAGTCTCAGTGTAGCAAAGACCTTGCTGCCTGGCCCAGCCAATCAGCTACATTGCTTGCAGTTCCCAATATGCCAAGTCCTTCACTCTACTGCTTCACAGGCTGTTCCTGCCCCCCCAGAAGCCCTTCTTTCTTTGCCTAGCTGGAGCATGTCTCTGCACTCAACTCTCACCTTCTCGGCACACCTTCCTGATCTGCTCTCCTCCCCCCTCTTTCTTCTGGCCTGCCCCCTTCTCAGCCCCCGGTCACACTGGGCACTCTCCACTCTGTGCTGCTACGCACCCCTCCGTTCTGTGTTCTGTCAGAATGAAGGTGATGCAGAGACAGAAATTTTAGGCTGGAAGGGACCAGAGAGGTTATCTAATTTTGGAGGGAAGGCAGGCAACACCAGGGGGGTAAGTTCAGTCTATTCAGCTCCTTCAGGGTTCTGGTCCATTTTATCTCCCCTTTCAAATACGATGACTTTTACGTGCAGCCCCTTGAACTCTTTTCTGGCTCCCCTTGCCTTCTCTTCCTCCACCCTGGCCCCACTCCCAGCAGGCAGACCAAAGCCCATTTAGACCCCGTGCTGTAGCTTCAGTCTCTAACTGGAGAGAAACACTCAGCTTTAGCAGTTTCTTATTTCAATAAATATTTTTTTCCTAAATGATACTGCTTTTTTAGGCAATTACACAAATAAAATGGGAGCTGACAACTACATACTGCAAGAAATTAACCAGAAGGATCTTTCATTATACACAGGTGCCCTGAAAGTGAAGGCCCAAATATAACAAGGGAAGACAGGTAAAGTGGATAAAGACTATTCTACCATAACACTGTAAAAATCAATTAAGTCAACAGCTTTGCTATCTAATCCACCAACTCAGCCTCAGATAGGAGTGATTAACTGACTAATTTGAATGTCTTCTCTTATTTCTTCCTTCGTGTATGTGGGCAGACTTTTCATTGATTCATGCAATGAATGTGTGTGGGGCACCTACTGTGAGCTACACACTGTGTGCTTTATGTACATCTTCTCATTCTGTTTTCATAGACCCCCTATGAGGCAGGTGCTACTATTTCCCCTGTTGGCTGATGGGAAGCTGAAATCCAGAGGGGCTAACTGTTCTGCTCAAAGGGCAGGGTCAGGATTCAGGCCTGCTGACTCCAGAGTCCTTGCTCTTAAGCATTCCTTTCGTAAGTACCTGACCCCCCGTGGATGGGTGTCATTTGGTTTAGTTGCTCAGCTAAGGCATGAGTTGCCTCCCTGAAATCAGTGCTTGGGGGTTGGTGGTGGTGTTAGCCCCTCCAGGGCAGCCTGTTCTTCTAGGTAGCTCTAATGATGAGAAAGTTCCAGATGACACTGATCCAGAGCCTTCTACCATTCATTCTAGTTTTTATCCAGCTTCGTTTGAGAAGTCCTTTTGATATAATCTTTCTTTAAGCTCCCCTTAAATCCATAGAATCTGGGCTTCCTATCATGACCTGTGATTTTAAAAAATATCTTTAACTGAAGGTTTTTTGAGATAACTTTAATTGTTTCTTAGAATTCTCATAAGTTTTTTCCAGACAAAGAGAACTCAGGGGTGGGGAAGGAACGGCAAACAGGAACTCCAGGTCTAAATCTAGTTTAGGGGTCACCCATGAATTGTACACCAAATCATAATACATTCTGAAAATGTTAGACCCCATTCAAACTGTCTTTGTTTTCCAGCATTTGAGACAACACTGAGAAAAGGAGGAAAAGCGAGTGATTGAGCCTGAAGAGATCTACCCACAGATATGTTTATTTTCCTCCAGTCTGAATGCAGCTCCCATTAGAATTAAAAGATACAACATGCACTCCCCCAGGAGACCTCTAACTGACACGGGGGTGCCTTTAAGGTAGAGAAGAAAAGCCAAACAGAAGGGTTCTGGGTTTTAATAGAGAGGCATGCAATCTCGAAGATGAGGTGGAATACTAGTATGAAAATAATTCAATAATGACATTAACAGAAACTCCTGTGGAAAAGGTCCTAACCCAGCTCACAGCTAATTATGAACCTCATGAGTCTGTTGAACCTGCCAAAAATCAGAATATGTGCTAAGCCCGAACTTTTGGGGTGAAACACATTACCTCCCTCACCTCAATTATACAAGAATTAGACAAGAATTTAGAGGTTCGTTCAGCAAAATTTGTTGATGTCCTGATGTGCCAGTTACAGATCTTGGCACTGGGGATCTGGCAGTGCACAACTTTCACTTAATGGGAGGAAACACAATAATCATCTAAACCTGTCCTATGTCAGCATTGATATGTGCCATGAAAAGCAGTAGCAAGGTGGACAGTGGGGCATGTGTGAGATGTTTGTTAATTAGTAGAAAGGGCCTCTCTGATAAGGTGACATCTGGGCAGAGACTGAATAAAGTATGGGGAGAGAAAATAGGGGAAGAGCCTCTTACGCTTCTTTCTGTGTCACAGTCACATGGCAGCTGGTCTGCAAGCTGAACATAACAGGAGCTTATTGATAGCAATTTATCAACTGACGCTTTGAGTTTGTTTTATGTTGATTGAATAGATTAAAAGAATTAGAACCTGGTGAGTTCACTGCATTGTCTAGTCCAGTCAACTAGGGTCAAATCTGCATGACAGGGGACATTTGGCAATGTCTGGAGACATTCTGATTATCACGACCCGAGGAGGGTGGGAGGTTACTATTGGCATCTTGTGGGTAAAGGCCATCCTAGAGTGCACAGATGAAGTCCATACAACGAAGAAGTAACGGGCCCAAAATGTCAGCAGTGCCACTGTTGAGAAATCCCGATCTGGTCCCAAGGTCAGCCACCAGATGTCTGATGAGAGCTGAGGGACTGAGCAGGAGGAGCTCTTGAGAACAAACCCATCAATATAGCTGGGTATCTGCAAACAGGGTAGATGTATGGCCCTTGGACTTACCTTGGGCATCTGTTTCAAGCTTGGTGATAGACTCGGTTGGTTTCTAAGTCATGTGGGGATTTCTTCATTAAACAACATTAAGTAAAAGTTTTCTGCACGCCTTTGTTATAGGAGAGGGCAAGGAGACAACATGTGACATTACAGCCTAGGGAGGATGGGAGGCATGAAGACAAACTCCTGCAATGTGGCAGGGGCCACAGAAGGGTAGAAATGAAATGATGTAGGGGAAGGAAGCAATGACTTTTATGTGAGTGACCCAAATAGTTTTAGCATAAGAGATATCACTTGAACGGGGCTGTGACAATGGCTTTTAATAAGTGCAGAGGGAGGTGGAGGATATGCTAGGTAGAGGGCAAGGAAACGGGTAAAAAGGTGGGGAATAATAATCATAACAGTAATAGTAACTGCCATCTCGTAAGCCCCTCAATATGGTAGGTGTGGTGCCAAGCACTTTATCATACAATTGCAGTCTAAACTGAAAACTGATATATAAAAATCAGCTGAAACCTGGCATGGCCCAAAGTGACTTGAATCGCCATCTTATCCATTTGAAAAAAGATCGTAAAACATGGGAAGTGTTACCTGGGGTGTGTTGCATAAATACCGAAGCAGTTCACCGATATACTGAATGACAGTGACATTGTATTTTCTGCAGTCATCCCAAAACTGGCTGGCTGAAAATTTGGCCCGCAAGGCAAGAGTAGCACCTACAGAGAAGGCATAGGAAGTGTCAACAAAGACACGCTACCAAAAATTCCTCCAAATAGATTTAATTTGTCATCTTTGAAAGGTAGAAATTTAAAAAATGGATTATATTCACAAACAAGTATTGAGTACCTATTATATTTAATGCAAAAAATGAATAAGACATGGTTTTGTCCTATAGGGGCTTCCAATCTATAGGGGACAAGACATGTACAAAAGTCATCCTAATAGAAGCCAGCTTGCAGTAAAAGGTTCAAATGAGGCCCCAGGGGAGTGTGAGGGTGTGAACGTGTGTGTGAGCACACGTGCACAGAATAATTTTACTTGGGGGCAGGAGAAAGGCATATTTTATAAGATGGATGGTTTGAGTTAGGCCTTGAGAACTGAATATGGAAAGAGATGAGAGAATTTCAGGCAGAGGAGAAGGCTTGAACGCAAGGACAGGACAGTCCAGAAGGTGTTGGGGAATGGACAAGACTCAGTCAACCTGTGACTGGGGTGGTGAAGGGTAGTGGGATGAACCAGGAGAAGCAGCTAGGGGTGCAATCATGGAAAGCTTGGAAGTGCCAGGTGGGGGAGCCAGACTTAATTTCGAAGGTAATGGAGAGCCAAGGTCTTGAGCAAGCAGGAGATAGTATTCTTCTTTGATGGGTGAATTAGACAGAGTAATGGTCCTCAAAGATGCCCACATCTTACAAAAAAAAAAAAAAAAAAAAAGATGCCCACATCTTAATCTCCAGAACCTGTGAATATGCTACCTTACATGGCAAAAGGGACTTTGTAGATGTGATTAAGTTAAGAATCCTGGGATGGAAAGATTATCCTGGACTATCTGGGTGTGCCCAATGTAATTACAAAGATCCTCATAGGAAGGAGGCAAGGTCAAACGCAGGAGGAGGAGATGGGATGATGGAAATAAAAGGTTGGAGTGATGTGCTCTGAAGATGGAAGAGGGGGCCATGAGCCAAGGAAGAAAGGCAGTCTCTAAGAGCTGGTAAAGGCAAGGAAATAGATTCTCTCCTAAAGCTTCCAGAAGAAATGCAGCCCTGCTGACACCTTGATTTTAGGACTCTGACCTCCAGAACAGTAAGAGAATATATGTGTTGTTTTACAAGTTTGTGGTGATTTGTTACAGCAGCAATAAAACTAATAAAATAAACTAATAAAATGGGTAAAAATAATCTATCTGTTATATTCAATCTAATTATAGGCAAAAAATGTAGTAAAACTGAAATAAAAAATCTTACAAATATTTTTCCATGTTATTAATTTATTTTTACTATTAAATACACCAAAGTCCAATGTTTTAGAAGAGGAGAAAAATTTTAAATGCTAATTTTTCTTCTTTAGCATGTATTTATGGTACCTAGGTGATTGATTTGTTTCTTTGGAAGCCTCAGTGTCACTCTGTTCTTGAAGGGCCTAGCAATATGACCAGATCCAGTCATTCCTTGCACTGAAGGCTGCTACTGATGCTGGGCTAAGTATTTTATAGCTGATCAATTAGTGGATGAAGGAAGGAGGCAGGGGCTTGGACAATCATATGTGTATGTGTATGTATATATAATACATAAATGTTGAGGGCCTGCTTCCCAGTTTGGGGAAGGCCATTGTCTCCCTCTGTCCTCAGATGGAGGACAGCAGCTCTCTCCTGTCTCTTCTTATAAGGGCAATGATACTATTTATGAAGCGTTCACCCTCATGACCCAATTACCCCCCAAAGGCCCCATCTCATACTACTACCACATTGGGGCTTAGAATTTTAGCATGAATTTTTTGGGGGACACATTTAGTCCATAACATATGTGTGTGTGTACCGGTCTCAAAAAGGACAAAAAAAAAAAAAAAAAATGTTTCTTGGAGATCTATTCACACTTGTACACTGTGAGATTTCCTTCATTTATTTATTCGCTCATTCTCTCCCTCTCAGCTGCCTCGAGTCCTTTAGATGAGTGTATTATAATTTATTTACACAATTTGCTATTCCTTTCTTTTTTTCTTCCTTTTTGTCTTTTTTCGTGACCGGTAATGGGATTGCAACCCTCAGTGTCGCGCCCGCACCACACTCAACCAGTGAGCGGACCGGTCTCTATATGGGATCTGAACCCTCAGCGGGAGCGCCGCCGCGCTCCCAAGCGCCGCACTCTACTGAGTGCGCCACCGGGCCAGCCCCACAATTTGCTATTTCAAATAATCCATGTTGAATAACCTTGTCCACATTCACATTATGAATGACACTCCATCTTTTGGATAAATTCACTGAGGTAAGATTTCTAGGTCAAAAGATATGTCTTTGCAATTTTGATAGATTACTGCCACATTGCAGATAAGGGATGTCCCCATTCACTCTCCCATCAGCAGTACTCAAGAGTGCCTGTTTCTTCATAGTCTTGCCAATGCATGCTCTCAAATGTTGGGATTTTTGTCCATCTGAAAGGTACAAAATGGTGTCTCATATAGTTTTAGTACTCTAGACTAAATAAAATTGCATTTTCTTAATCATAATTTATATAAGTTTTTTGTAAGACTTTCTATCGAAAGTGTATGTTTATATTGTTTCCCATGGAAGATCAATTTAGTTGGGGAGGACATGAAGTCATTGCTAAGGAGGCTGGGTTACAGTTTATCTTTTATTTATTTATTTATTTTGGCAGGAGGGTTAGAATTGAAAACCTGAGTGGAGAAGCAGGTTTGTAAAGAGGAAGGCAGATCTCTGTAGTCTCAAACCCATCAATACTCAACGTTTCCTTAGCTAGGTTTTACCCAAATAACAGCAATATGTTATAAGGCAAAGCGGCATGGCCAGCAAACTACCATCATTGTAAACACAATTCAAAATTCATTTTCTTTGACAGTAGGTGATTGGCACTGTGTTAGTATTATTGCCCCATTCTACAGTAATATTAAGAAATAAAAGAAAGCATCAATAAATCAAATGTATTCATCATGGAAAAGAATTGCCCAAATAGTGAAGGCTCTAAATCATATTTTTTAAAAATAAATGCCCCAGTTTGTTGCTGTAAAGTACTTTCAGAACTTTCCTAATTTAAGATTTTGTATTAATGAAGAAATAAGAATATTTGGTAACTATTATATAATTTCGAGCTAATGAGTTCCTTTGAGGAATAGGAAAGGCAGTTTATTCTCCAGTTGCTTAAATGAGTTCTTTTAATTAACATTTACAAGAGTAACTTAGCAAATACTTTACTCAGAGATAGGGAAAAAAGTAAAATAAACATCAATCCAATTGTTTTTCAATTAATATAAATTCTGAATTGTGGGATTAAATCAGAGAGTGCTCATTCTTTTTTTCTCCCTAAAATGAGTTTTATATCTGACTGCCAAAACATGCATTGTGAGGAAATTCCATACTTGTATCTCCAGTACTAAGACTAGACCTCCCCATCACTAACCAAGGGCTCATTGTATCTCAATTATTTCCTGAATCAAAGTTTACAATTTAATTTTTCTAGTCTACTAAGAAGTGAATATAAAAGCCTCATATATTAAGTTATACAGACAGTGGAAGCAATTGGTTAATTATGTCATCCCATCTTTCTGTTATATTGGCATGGCAATATAGAACTTTTGACAAATAAAAAAATGATAGACATTATGCTTTGAGCACCAGCTTTAATAAGTCATTCCCAGCTTCCTCTTCTCACTTACTTAAAGAAAATATTTAGCAAAAGTGACTGTATGAAAGGAAGCCAACATTAAGGTTAAACTCAGGTTCAGAAACTGTGAGATCAGGTAGATGCTGAGGGCCTGTGGAGGCAGGAGAGAGTTCCTGCGTGCTGGTGTTCAGACAAAAGGCTCAAGGGAACCTTTAGCCTTATCTATAATGCTCGATTATTTTATAAGGAGAATGCATGCATGTTTATTACCTGCTTAAAATAAATAAAAATTTTAATCAAAAGAGATAAAAGATTAATATATTCAATTTCCCAATAATAATCATCATCAACATGCTGGGGCTGCTTCCTGTCCTGCTTTTATTTATTTATTTGGCAGCTGGGTCTGTGACCTTGGTGTTATAAGGCTGCACTCTAACCAACTGAGCTAACCAGCCAGGCCTCTGTGCCTCTTTCCCTCTTTTAAATATATTCCTCAGGCTACATATTATTACATGTTGGGTAACATTTTTCCTGACCTCTTAGAGTAGGCATATACCAAAAATCTGTAACATTGATAAACCAGGGGATATTACGGCAGATCTGTAAACTCTACCAGCTGTGGAGTCAGCCTACAAGGTGAATCCTAACACTTCTACTTCTCATTTTGGCAAGTTCTCAGCCTAAGTGGCAGTTTCTGAATCTGTAAAATAGGAGTAACAATAGTTACTACCTATCTCACAGGTGGTAGGAGAATTGTATGAACAAATGCCATAAAACTCCTAGAAGAATGCCTAGTACCTATTAACACTTAACACTGCTTGCTCCACATAACTGTTCCAATAACACTGTTAATTGGCATTGTTTTTCCTAGTGGCTCATAAAATAATGGTGCAGCTTACAGTTGGATGCATCCTAGATTTGATGAAATACAGTATTTTATGCCCTCCATTAGAGCCATCCTACGTCCACAGCACCAAACAGCTCCAAGCCAGTGTGCACGGGAAGATAGTGGTCAAAATATTTACGTAAATCTAACACCATTATTGTCCTCTGGTGTTCCATTTATAATTGATTATGCATTATCTCTGAACTCTGGGTATAACATAACCAAAATACAAGCATCAAAAAAATTCCAACACCCCATTCAGTGCCAAATCTCACCCACCATCCTACCTATTCTGGTAGTTCTTGGTTAACCTCTTCATCTGTTCTATACCAACTTGGGGAAATTATGAGGGTACTTCAAAAAGTTCATGGATGGATTTGTATTATCTTTCAATTCTATTTTTCCATGAACTATTTCCTCTTCATCTGTTCTATACCAACTTGGGGAAATTATGAGGGTACTTCAAAAAGTTCATGGAAGGATTTGTATTATCTTTCAATTCTATTTTTCCATGAACTATTCGAAGTTCCCTCATATGCATAGCATGGAGAAACCCAAATGGGATCATATGCTATGAAATAAAATCAGTTCCCACAGGCAGAGAGCTAAATCCCCTGAGGATTAGTTATCGGATAAGTTTTGCCAAAGAAAGAGAACACTTGAAAACCTAAGCCAACATTTAACTCCTTCAGGATGGGTCCATTTCTTTGAGAATCTTCTCTTTATTTTTACCTGTGGTTCCAGAAGTATAAATGTATAAGGCAGGAGTGGAAAAAGTGACTTCAGACCTCCATGACTCTGGTATAGGTTCAGATGACACTTCGTCCACTTTGTCCAACAAAGAGTCAATCCCATCTGTGTTAGAAGTTCTGCTCACATAATAGATGAACACATCATCTTTTTTCAGGCTTGGCAGAACCTCTTCAACAGCTGCTTGTAGTTCTTAATTCAATAAGAAAAAAAAAATCCAAACAAATTAGTCCCTTAAAGTTCTATTAGTACAATAAGCTTCATGATAATTTCATTTTCAGCATAATTTTTGTTAAAATATGTGAACATGACAAGTGATGCTTATAGTTACTCATTTTCTAACATGGAATTTGCTACATTTGAAAAAAATCACAAGACTCCAATATTTGAGGGAAGCATAATTGAGGTTTTGGTGGTTTCATAAGCAGATGGTTGGTTGAAATCTGTACTTCTTATGGCAAGTGCTAACAAATGGACAAAGGGGTAAAAACCAAGAAATATAAGTGCATAACCTATAACTGGTATATACTCTAGAAATGAACTTAGTTATTCCTAATATGTGCCCCACAAGACCAGTGATGGAAAAAAAAAAAAAGGAAATTTTAAGTAAGGTGAAGAGAAACAGAAAGAAGTGAGGCATGCTAACTAGCAGAGATGACAGAAGCCAACTTCATATAACAAATTTTTTATCACATCAGCAACAAGTAGCTCCACTGGGAAAATTTAGCTGATTTGAGAAATAAGCTCTAAATTTCATAAGTGCATTCTCTGGTCTGAGAAAAAAAAAAAGAAACAATATATTTACTTACTGATTTTTTGGTGGCTGGCCAGTAAGGGATCTGAACCCTTGACCTTAGTTTTATAATACTATGCTCTAACCAACTAAGCTAACCAGCCAGTTAAACCCAAAGTGTTTAATTTAGAGCAGTGTTTTTCAACCTGTGGGTCACAATATAGTAGTGCATTGTTAAACCATTTAAGGTGACCAATATATTTAAAAATTAAAGAAGAATGAAGTAGAAATTTTCAGAGCACAGCACACAAATTAAGAGGTAAGTATTGTTTTTTAAAAGTTTTGTTTCAGTTATGTGGGTGCGTGGGTACTGGTTCACATACAAATGTATTTCTTGCTATGTCAAGGTAAAAAATTTTAATGGTACTGATTTAATACGGAAACCACTTTTTTTTTTTTTTTCGTGTCCGGCAATGGATCGCAACCCTCGGTGTCGCACCCGCACCTCGCTCAGCTAGTGAGCGGGAACCGGTCTGTATGTGGGATCCGAACCCTCGGCGGGAGCGCCGCCGCACTCCCAAGCGGCGCACTGTAGCAGTGCGCCACCGGGCCGGCCCCGGAAACCACATTTCATGTTTGCTTCGTGTATTTTTGTGCCTTTAAGTCATAAAATGAGACTGCTTTTAAGCTTACTTGTCTTGAATTGCTATAACTGAAGTGAATATACTTATTCTTAATAAGAAGATGACTCAATATCCCAGGGAATTACCTTGGGGAGGCTATGCCTGATTCGTCTTACATGCTTTGTTTCTCAGATGTTTGTGTATGATGTCTCCATTAAGATATGTATCACTGCGATAGATACACTTAAAATTTTAAAAACTATCTTAACCAAAGGACTCATGCACCTGGTAAAATAAATCAAGTAGTACAAAAGGGTTTATAGTAAAAATCAACAGGCCCTTACCCCAGCCTTCCTCACCCAGCTGCCAAGAGGAACCACTTTCAATTTTTTTTAGCTGTTTCCTCTGGCAATCTCCTCTCCATCACCAAAAAAATGTGCTCTTCCTGTTTTAGATATATCACTAACTCCTTCTTGGCCTATCGGTTTTGATCCCCACCCCCATTTTACCCATATTTTGTCCATTCCCAACAGTTATTATTGTTACTTTATGTTGTCTACGTTAATAGCATTTACATCTATTCTGAGACCATAGTTCTGTCTCCCCAGCTTTGTCGATGAATTGAGTCTGTTAAATTAAATTACATTTGGCTAAAGCTGCTTCTGTAAGTAGTGAACTGCAACCAATCTTGAGAGTATATTCTTCTAACAAGCAGCAAAGTCTCAGCCAGTCACAGGCTGCAAACTACTCAGACATGTCTGAATAAGGCAAACATGGAGCTGTAGCCAAGAAGGCTATTTCTTTTTTTTTTTTCCCTTTTTGTCTTTTTTTGTGACCGGCAACGGATCGCAACCCTCAGTGTCGCACCCGTACCGGACCGGGACCGGCAACGGGATTGCAACCCTCGGTGCTGCGCCCGCACCTCGCTCAGCCAGTGAGTGGCTGGTCTGTATGTGGGATCCGAATCCTCAGCGGGAGCGCCGCTGCACTACTCAGACATGTCTGAATAAGGCAAACATGGAGCTGTAGCCAAGAAGGCTATTTCTTTTTTTTTTTTTTCCCTTTTTGTCTTTTTTTGTGACCGGCAACGGATCGCAACCCTCAGTGTCGCACCCGTACCAGACCGGGACCGGCAACGGGATCGCAACCCTCGGTGCTGCGCCCGCACCTCGCTCAGCCAGTGAGTGGCCGGTCTGTATGTGGGATCCGAATCCTCGGCGGGAGTGCCGCTGCGCTCCGAAGCGGCGCACTGTAGCAGTGCGCCACCGGCCGGCCCAAGAAGGCTATTTCTGAATGTCACTTTCTTTGTCTATTAATATTGTCTGCCCAGGTTGCTGGGTGGAGCTCTCTGAACCTCTGTTGGTTCAGGGTGCTGCCTGATTCATGAATTGTTTCTTGCTCAAATAAATTCTGCTAACTTTAATTTGTCTAAAGTTTTTTTTTAACAGCTCTAGAAGCTGAAAACCAATAATCAGAATTGACATAATTATGACTATGTAAATATTATTTACTACAGAGCCAAAGAACACACTATAATCCTATTTCCTTTCTTGGACAGTTTTCTCCTGGATTTTCTAGTTGGCTGTCATTTCTTTAATGTACTATTTTACTCAACTATTTTTCAACCCCATCAGATCACTCTCTCCACCCCCTTCCCCCCAGGAGCCTTAATTCTCTTCCTCTACTGTTTTATTTTTGACTGGTTGCTCTCTAGTCCTTCTGCACTTTGGAAAGGTTACCAAAAAAATATTACTGTTCTGGAAACTGGAGTGGTAGCATCTAATCCTTTGCCACTGCTTTGGCTCAGGTCCTCATTATTTCCTACCTAGATTATTGCAAAAGCCCTCTGACCAATCTCCTTGCCTCTAATCTCTCCCACTTTCAATTTAACAGCTTTACTACTGCCCACTTCTTGTTGCCACCCTGTTTAAAATCCTTCAATGGCTGCTCATCCCTTGCAATAGAATCCACTCTCCTTATTTGAGAAGTCCCAAGGTTCTTCACAGTTTCATAGTCTCATTTCTGCTGGCCTTTCTGATGTCATCTCCTGCTATCTACCCCTGACCCCCTTTCGTCTAGCCACACTGATCTATGTGAAATCCACTAATGTACCCATATGCTCACATCTCATTACCTTTACCCAGGTTGTTTCATCTGTTTGGAAGGCCTTCCCACCCCCTGGTCACCTGGAAAACTCCTGCTTATCCTTCAAGACTCAGCCTAGGTGATACTTCTCTCCTGTAACCTTCCTTTCCTCTATAAAGTTATCCACTCCCTTCAGCACATATTTCTATTAGGATATTTAGTATATAGTATGATATGGTTCAATTCTTTTTCTCCTCTATTGGACAGAGAAATCTTTGAGGTTAAGAGATCATAAGTAAATCATTAATTATTTTTGCACCCCCAATACTAGGTAAGTGCTAAATGTTTATATGTGAAAAGACTCTGCACAAAGTATTGTATTAGTGTGGAAGAGACAGAGGAATAAGTTAAAGCTGCTGGTTTAAAGGATTCAGATCTTACAGAGGAATAAGTTAAAGCTGCTGGTTTAAAGGATTCAGATCTTACAATACTATGAGTTGATAAATCTTTAATAAAATATAAAATAAAATAATTTCTGTGATACAGGTATGCCTTGCATACAAGTAAGGGCCCAAGAAATATCCCTTTCTACATTCCTTCCTCATGCCCTGAGACTGAATCTATATAATCAAACACTGTGTTCATAAGTTACTTGGATTCATTCTTATTCCCTCCCTTCCAATATTTATTCAGCATCTATTTGAAGAGTGCTCCCTATGTGCCAGGAAGGGTTCTCAGCACCGTATACAACAATGAGCAGGACATATACCGTTTTCATAGAGTCTTGTAGGTCTCGTAGGTCCTAAGGAGAAGGTGTTTTGGGAACACATGGGGGAGGGGCACAAAGATGACCGAGGTGCTGTCTAAACTGAGACCTGAAACAGCCTTTCTTCCCTTAAAGATGCTGATATAAAAACTAAAATTTAAAAGAAAATTCTGGATGTGAATGCTGTCAACTATCTAGTTGATATTTAATATATCTTCTTTCTTTTTTTAAGTTTTGTATACATGTGATTGGGCCTACAGGACTTGGTGAGATGAAGATCACCGTAGATTGACTGAGCCTGTTTTTGGCAGAGAGAGCAGCTTATTCAAAGGCCCAGAGGCAAAGCAGTATGGTGCCAAAGTACCTCAAATAGGCTAAAGCGGACTGGAATGTAGAATGAAAGGGGAATAAGGTTGGGAGAAGAGGGGGGCATGCATTAGGGACCAGGTGGTCCCTAAAGGCCTGGCTTAAGTCAGGTAAATGAATCGGAGGGAGGGAGAACAGTTGGTAGATGAAGCTCATCTGCACTAGAGCAGCAGCAGTAGATGTAGAGAAGGGGATGTATTTAAGAGATATTTCAGAGGCAGGATAGAGATAGGACTTGGTGACAGTCATAATAAGAGGAAAACGATAGGTCAAAAAGGACTTCAATTTTTCTGTAATTTTTTTTTAAAGGAAAATGTACTCAGGTGTTAGTTATGTATCTAAAATTAATAATAGTAATAATAAAAATAAAAGGATATAGAAGTAAGCAGTGGTATTAGTCCATTTCTGCTGCTTATAACAAAATACATGGAACAAAATACAAAATGAAATTTATTGCTTATAGTTTCTGAGGCTGGGAAGTCCAAAGTCAGGGAACACATTTGATGAGAACTTTGGTGGTGGTGACAGTGACAGCAGAGTATCACACTGTGAAATGGTGGAGCACAGAGAGCAGAAAGACTCTTCATACTCCTCTTTTAAAGCCCTCAGAACCACACCT